CATAGTTAGTCGCAAAATGTTTAGATTTCTTAAGAAAATTAAAAACGAAAAATAAGAAACGAAAACGTTACCAAACGAATCGTCTTAAATTTCCACTCTATTTTGCAAAACGAAGAAAATCATGGAAAGGAGAAAGGAAATGACATAGCATGACAACTTTTTGTGTTCTTTTTTCGTGTGGTCTATGATTAGTTTGAATGTGTTTACCGGAACAAGAAAAGGATGAAGTTTTGTTATCTTCAAAATAACTAGAGTARTGTAACATCGTACATGAAAATTTTGATTATTTATCGTCTTCTTTAGACTTAACTTTTTTTTAGTACAATATGTGGGGACGAGAATTCGAACTCTCGACTTTATGATTGGATACATGTGTCTGTTGTTATACAAAGGAAAACCACAAATAAACCAACCAAGGGAACATAAGAGAATCGACGAGGTGGCCGGCCAAATTGAAGCCCATTGTCGAGTCAAGCATCCACCCTCCTCTGTTGCCCACGATGCCTTGGGCCTTACGACGGTTATCTAGGGCTCACCTAGAAGGCTCTATAACTCTCCAAACGACTATAAATAGGCTATGAAACCTAATMCTAAGGTAAGCCGAATTCGACCCTTGAATTCTATGACTCTACTGCTCCCCCTTACTAACTTAGATATCGGAGCTCGTGTGATAAGTGTCACACCGGTCTAGTCTTGTTCGGTTTTGCAGGTGTTCGAGTCCCTAATAATCAAGCTTGGTGCGAACCTCGGGAGGAATCGAGAGAGCATAATCCACGCATCAACAATTGGCGTCGTATGTGGGAACGATGCAGATTGAACTTAGCCGAGGCGAATTCCTAATCTGAAGAGGGAACTGAGACGAAATCCTAATCCGAGGAGGGAGCCGAGACGAAATCCTAATCCGAGGAGAGTAACATGGAGCAAGTCGATGCAACCTCCAGTGGAAACGACAATGTTTCAAAAGGAAAAGCCCAAACGAGGCTGCCGACCACTTGAGGGAAGTAAATCCGAGCTCTGGTCATCGACTAAATCTGACCACCCTCGGTAGGGGAAAACTAGCTGAGGAGGTAGAATCTATCGGTTTAAATATATGACAATGTTTCGAAAGGAAAAGCCCAAACGAGGCTGCCGACCACTCGAGGGAAGCAAATCCGAGCCCTGGTCATCGACTAAATCCGACCACCCTCGGTAGGGGAGAACTAGAAGGAGGTGGGATCTATCCGTTTAAACATCCGAAGAGCAACGAATTAACCGAGAACACCTCGAATCCGAGGAGATCTTGAGATAAACAAATTGACATGGATTATGGGGGTTGCCCTTTTCTGAGATAGTCGAGGGAAAAGCAAATCGACAAGTTCTGGAGCAGGACCTAGAACGAACGAATCAACAAATTTCAAGACAGATCCTGGATAAGATAAGTTAACCCATCAGAAGAAGAAGAAGGGAAAGACTGCTCAGGCCTAATGAGGTCTAAGGCAAAGTAAGTCTACAAGCTCTAGGACAGGACCCAAAGCAATCAAATCGACAAGTTTCAAGATAGATCCTGGATGAGGCATATCGATGGATTCTAAAATAGGTTTCGAGAGAAACGATCAATAAATCCCATAATAGAGAAAGCAACTTGATGAAGTTCTAAGGCATCTAAAAGACAAACTGGCTGCTGTGAAAAGTCAAGGGAATGTGTCAAGAACACAAACCTCCTTTTGAAAAATTCGAGCAACAAAAGAAAAGGCAACCTACGCCCATCCGAGGTCCGTGGAAGGACAAAACTACTGAAAAGACCCGACAAACGAACTATATAACTGGTCATGACCAGACTCTATGACACAACCAGATCCAAGGCATAACCAGGTCTCGATCGAGCAAGTCTCTACCGATCAGATGCCTTCTGCCAACCAGGTGTCTGCTGTCGATTAGGTGTCTTCCATCGATCAGGCTTATTCTGCTGACCAGACCAATTCCGCCAACCAGGTATCTTCGACCGACTAGATCTCTTCTGCTAACCAGATCCAAAAACTACACGACAGCAAAAGTCAGTGGTACGTAGTATAGGAACTGCCTGGAAAGCCGACCCGATTTCCAAAAATTTGTGCTCGGCAAAGAGAAGTCACTTAGTCGACACGAGCAGATAGAAGAAAGCGATATAGGAGAGAACGACAAGACTTGAGGTACTTGAGAAAGTTTTCATTGGATACCTTAAACAAAACCCCTCCTCAAGTGGGGCCAGTGAGTAACAATGGTCACAGACCTAGAAGCAAACCAAAAATCCCAAAGGTGCTGAAAAAGGTCGGCGTACAAGCCCAGCGAGGTCAAAACAAAAAGCAGGCAAGCCTAAAATGAAGCCCTGACATGCTTTATGCCTTCTACTCTGACAATGGGGGCTATTGTTATACAAAGGAAAACCACAACCAAACCAACCAAGGGAACAAAAGAAAATCGACGAGGTGGCCAACCAAACCGAGCCGAGCCGAGCCAAGCAGTCGAGCCGAGTCGAGCTTGGCCCATTGTTGAGTCCGGCATCCACCATCTTCTATTTCCCACGATGCCTTGGGCCTTACGACGGAGGGCTCACCTATAAGGCTCTGTAGAACTCTCCAAACGACTATAAATAGGCTATGAAACCTAACTCTAAGGTAAGTCGAATTTGACCCTTGAATTCTATGACTCTACTGCTCCCCCTTGCTAATTTAAGCATCGGAGTTCGTGTGACAAGTGTCACACTGATCTAATCTTGTTCAGTTTTGCAGGTCTTCGAGTCCCTGATAATCAACTTGATGCGAATCTCGAAAGGAATCGGAAGAGCATAATTCACGCATCAACATCTGCTGTACTCTGATTAGCCTTCTTTAGTCTTAACTTGTGATTCAGACATTGCAAATTTTTTATTTTACAATTTTAATCTTCTCTTCTTACGATTCGCTCTCAAATGTATTTATTTTCTGAAACTTTTACTCACTGAATTTTAATCTACTACGGTTTCATTATTATATTTTTTCTTTCAATGTTTTGGCCTTTGGGTAATGGTATATTTGGCTCCACTGGTATATGTAATATGTACTCCTTTCTTCATACTTTGCATGCTTCCCATCACGTTTAATTTATTTCAAAATATAAATTACACTTAATTTAATATATTTACAGTCATTCTTGGGTAGATTAGACTTTCTACGTAAACATGCTTGGAGGATAAAAAAATGAATTAATATAGTATGAGTATATAAAATCAATTAATAATTTAAATATCGCTCAACTGCCTTACGTATATTGTAAATTAAAAGATTGGAACTTCGAATCCTTACCATAATAGTCTGACACTTACTCACTAAATTTCTTGAATATAAATATAAATATAAATTTATATTAAATGATTTTTATTGTACATAATTTATGTTAAATTTTACCAATAGATACCAAAATGGTTACTTACGGACTACAATAGAAGTTTTGAAAGTACATATAGGATTATCCGATACCTTTTTACCTTTTATTATGATGTCACTCATAAAAACTGTACGAGTATACCAGAATTTTATATATAATCTGTAGTAAAAAAATGAATTTGTTAAGGGGCAGAATTTGTTTGATCATTAAAAATAGTTTATGATACAAAAATTTGCTAAGTCTAAACACTAATTGTAAACTCACTTGAACAAATTAATTTTTTACTATATATTATATTTAAATTTGTGTATTCATAAAATTTTTACGCAAGAGAAGTCAAAAAATGCTAAAATGAATATAAGTTAAAAATATATGGACGAAAATGAATATTTTAAAACTACATATTGAAATAAACCTAAATAAACCAAAATTGAAAAATACCGAAACCAAAATAATATTTAATAAATTTGATGTCCTTGGGTTGAGAGGTTAACTTTGTGATGATGATGGTGAGGTTTAACAGCTTCTTTTTGTTTTTTTTTTCTAGGCAAGAAAAATTGTATAATTGGAGTAAATTGGAGTCATGCCAATTGCCCAATTGACTCAAAACTTTGTCGAGTCTTTTCATTTCTTATCCAATTCAAGTAGAGCGTTGAAAAAGATAATTAAAAAAATTTGATCTATTTAGGTATCCAACAACAAAGCGACACGTAGACATTCAAGAAATAAAGAAATTGAAGCCCTCATTTAAACGCAAAGACCTATTCAATTGGGCCGATTGAAGCCCAATTGGTGTCCACGAACAATACAAAACGACGCCGTACAGCTCTGAAATTCGCAGCTATAAGAACTCCCGTTCAGATCCCCCTCGTCCTCACGCGCTACGGATCTGAATTTCAGCATCACAGAATCGAGATCGACGAGGCGACAAAAACGATGCCGTATTACACGAGGGACGATGAGGCTGTCGACGACTTCGACGAGTACGATCCGACGCCCTACGGCGGCGGATTCGACCTTTTTCTGACGTACGGCCGCCCGATCTCGCCGTGCGACGAG